GCGCTGGAGCTCCCGGCTTCGGGTGGCCCACAAGTACTCACTGAGCATCTGCACAGTGCTAAGAACTTGACCATGAACGAAACAGAGGTAATCCCTGCCTTCCTGAAGCCAGCAAGCCAGAGTAAAAAGACCAGCACCCCAGGATCAGGCGCGTTTAGATGCTTTGCATTTTTCTTGGAACCCTAATAATTAGACCTAGGCACCCCCATGTTAGAGGTGACGAAACAGGAGAGGAGGGAAGTTGGGCGCAGCTAATACATGATGAAAATGGGACTTGAGGTTGGATCCTCTCAGCTCCAAAGCCAGGACTCAGGACCCCTCAGGGAGGGCTCTTTGCTGTACCTCAAAGACTCCTCCCAGAAGCCCTTGCTCCACTCTGCTTCCTACCAGGTCAGTGGTATCAAAGATGTGCATGAAGTCACTGAAGGCACAAGTGACCAAGGGACCACAGGTGTGCCACAAGGCAGAATCGGTATCTCCCAGAAGCACTCCGTCAGGGAGAAAGGGAACCTGGAAACCAGAAGCAAAGGGAGGGAGAGAAGCAGAGAGGAGTGGGGCTTTTACGGTGGCCCGTCCTCGGAGAGCACCTTGACTAGTGCCTGGGATGGCCCGGCCGCTGCGCCATGCCATTTAGACCCCAGAAAAACCTTGCAGGACACGTCCTGTTATTCTCCCCCGTTCACAGCCCACTGAAGTCAGGTGCCTGGTGCCAGTGCCGACGGCGGCTGAGTGGAAGAGCCAGGACTCTCACGGCCGACAAAGTCCAGCTCTTTGGAGAGGGCAGCCGAAGAGTCATATAGATCTTATTGTGCAACACGCACGCAGAAGTAGAAGAATGAAGTTTAGGTCCCAGAGCTACCAGTAACTGCGCCCTTGATCTGATCGCCGGATCTTCCCAGGCCTGTTTTCTCACCTGTGGAACGAGGATCACGGGATGTCTTGGATGCTTTTGCCTCCGCGCGAGCCTGCATTACACCCTGCCTGGTGTTTGGTACTCACACCTTAGTGAGTTGGGGCTGCTCGAATTTCTGTTTCTCATACTTGCTGTGCTCCACCACGAGTCTGAAAACTCTGATTTATTGTTACAGACCTCTCACTACCTTGCGGTACTGAAAAAAACAAGAACCAAAACCAAAATCACAACTCATCAAGTGAGGAAATGATCAGAGGACACTTCTCCTTAACTGTGTCCATTTTGGCAAATAAATCATGAAAATTCCCCGGCCTTCCTTTCTCCGACAAAAAAAGCGGAAAACCCTCACGATGTCTGGATGTTGGCTGAATGAGGAAACGTAGATCAAAGTGCCCCCCTGGGAGAAAGACGCTGTTGCTATCGCCACATTGCTGAGTGAGCCCCCAAAGACTGTCTGAGCAAGGACAGGCTGTGAGCAGTGAGAGGGACCTTTCCTGATGCGTTAGGTGCCTCTGTCATCCTGTTCTCTACCATCAGGCTGTTCTCCATCATCCTCAGAACAAGCTGGAAGGTGGGCTCTCCTATGGGGGGTGGACAACCTACACTCCTCAAGGTTCAGCAGATTCCAAAGCCTAGTCTGTTTCTACAGCACCATCCAGACTCACAGGGACAATTCTGCTCACGTTTTTCTCCTCTAGAGACCTGTCCCTCTGGGCTCTACTCAGCAAAGCCTAGGAAAGTTCGCCCAAGTCACTTGCGGGAGGAATCACGTGCCTGTGCTAATTTGGACAGAGCACCCTCTGAGGGCTGTCCCCACGGAGTCATAGTTAAAGAGGTCCAGAAGGGTGCCTTCTGGGAGGGGCAGTGGAAACACAGAGCAACTAGGCCAGCCTTGTTCTTCTGGTTCCCAAACTTGACAGGACTGCTGGATCTTGCACCGACGTCAGCGGGCTCCATGCGTGACCATTGCCAACTGCGGAGACATTGCAGGCCTATCTAGCCAAAGCCAGATGCATAATGACCTCGAGATGATTCAAGGTGCATGGCATTTCCTGCTCAGCCTTTATTTTTAGAAGAGATAGCATTCTTTATGACCTGGGTCCTCCCGGGCTATGTATATGAAGCATTCTCCGTGACCCGGGGGATATATGACAGGCAGTGCTCATTCGCTGCAGGTGTTAGAGGCTTTGCGGGGGGGAGCTTGGGGGTTGGAAAACAGGTTATTGAATGCTGTGTCAGGCTGAGGCGGAAGGGAACCGCTTTCCTTTGATGGTGGGAACAATCGTTGATCTTTGCCTAATACACCAAGGGACTGCACCAAATACACCGGTCTGCACAACTTCTGGCTGGTGCCTCCCCGTGTCTGTGTTAGAGACTGAGGGACTAACACACGTGGGCACCTGAAAAACTGATCGGTATCTGTGTGGTTGCCTCTGAAAATTTCAAATCAAAAAACCCTTGGGCAAGTTAGTGTGGTTTTCAACTCTCCCCTACCCCCTCCTCTCTCTCCTCTCTCTCTTTTTTTTTTTCAAGATGTAAGTTGTCTAACAAGATCTCTTTATTTGCCTTTGAAATGCAATGTCTCTGACTCAGGTCTGAGCGGTGACAAGCTGCTGATGACACCGGGTTAAACTGCACTGATAAGATACATTTGATACATTTTGTGATCTTAAAAAAGCAATCGCCAGCAGGTTGCCAAACTTTATGTATGATACATCCGTAATCTTAACCATGCCAAAAAGTTTATATGAATATGCATTAAGAAGGAACAAAGAGACTTTGAATGTTAACAGTGGCTATTGTCATGGAAACACAGGTGATGTTTTTACATTCTTCTTCATACTTTTCTGTGTTTCCCAAAAATCTCTATACGAAGCATAAAATCACCTTAATAAGCAGAAAAAAAATGTTATTTGAGAAAAGTCAAGATACCCGTAAATCAGTAGTCACTATTACAAATTCCAATATCTAAAGATTTTATTTTTTCATTTCTCGAGAGAGGGGAAGGGCGGGAGAAAGAGGGAGAGAAACACCAATGTGTGGTTGCCTCTTGCGCGCCCCCTACTGGGGACCTGGCCCACAACCCAGGCATGTGCCTTGACTGGGAATCGAATAGGCAACCTTTCAGTTTACAGGCGGGCACTCAATCCACTCAGCCACACCAGCCAGGGCTACAAATTCCGACATTTAACAAGAAGCTTAAGATATGAAAGACCACAAAGACTGACCTTGAATAGAGAAATTGACAGCAAGACAAGGAACACTGTAGGTCCTAATGTTTTTTGAATCGGACATCCCAGCCATGATTTCGCGTCTGACCCTTCTTTCATGTCTCGAAAAAATCTAGTTAGAGGAGACTGTGAATAGGGAGAATGGTGCCACGGGCAAAGCCGGGGACTTCTAAATGTGTTGCCCGGTCTCTGAGAAGCCAGGTCAGAGGTTCTGCATGTTGAGGCCGGAAAAACACTGATGGAAATAGAAACCGCGGGTCCTCTTTCCCAGTCCTGCCTGCATCCGGCAGGCTTGCTGGGAGCAGTTGGATAGACACAAGACATGGGTCAGAGGCCTGAGTTCCACTTGCAGCTGGGTCGCTAACCAGCGGTGTGGCCCCCCGGCAGCACAGTCCCTGTGCATGTGCGTCCCTGCATTTGTTTGTCCCCTGAGGTCTGCTCCAGCCCCAGAGGTGTGGCTGGGAAGAAGGGGATTCCCGGGTAAAGTCCCAAACTGGAGCTCCATTGTCAATATCCAACCAGGACACTCCTTCCCTGGAATTGCCACCTAATCTCCCTGCACAAACCAGGTTTCCTCATCCCTGGGTTTCAGGTGTCCTCCTCCCTCGGGAAGATGTTGCAAGGACTGACTAATGCACAATGAGGATGAGGCAGAGCCAGGTCCTGGGAGTTCCAAGCTGCCGACACCGAATCTGCAATACGAGTGCGGTGCGCTCAGCTCACGCTACGACCTTGAAAGCCACTTTCCCATCCCAGGCCGTGGGGTGACACCCGGCTCTCTTTCCAAAGACCTGCTGGCACTCACAATAAGTTGACAGTCTTCATTGTAAAGGGAGGGCCTATTCCAAAGGCAGCAACCATACCTTCTCCAACATCCCCCACTCCGCCCCAAACATTGAAATTTATTTTTAACCCCAGAAAGTACTGAAAACATCGTCCACAGAGAAGAGGTACTAACGTTTCCTCCTTTACTCCAGGGGAAAATGAATGGTCAGAGCTCTTGTTTTGCTTTTTACCCGTCGCAGGTTATAGTGTCTGGGGTTTGTTTCAAGCAGCCGGGATCACGGGCTCCCACCGTGGTCCCGCACAGGGCGTTGTAAGTCCCTCCCCGCACAGGGCAGTCTCGAAGCGGGGAAGGCGAAGTGGGCGCCTCGGGCAGCGGGGAGTTTCCTGGCAACGAGGCCGAGCTCTCTCTCGCCCACGTCGCCGGGAAGATCCACTGCTCTGCCCAGGTGCGCTCCCAAACCTGTGAGGCCGTGGCGTCGCTTTCCACAGGTCAGTCCTGTCTCTCGGTGGTTTTCCCTGAGACCTTCGTAGCCTGTCTCGGGGCTAGGGGGTGGCGGGGCTGGGGGTGGGGCGGCCGCCGAGGGCGGGCGTCCGCTCGCGAGAACTTCGCCTCTCCCACTGCGGGGTCGTCTTCTTGTCCCGTGCCCTCTGCGACGTCGAGGGGCTGAGGACCCTTTCCGACCTCCCAGCACCCCGCCAGGTGCCCGCCCCCGCGGGGAGGGTCTTGCGGGTATTTTTCCGAGACCTGAGACCCGAAGGGCAGCGTCCCCTTTCCGCAGCCTTGGGGATGGCTCGTGGCCCCGGGTCAGGCGACCTCGGGAGGCGGGGCGGCCCGATATGCAAATTTGCCGCCGGTGGGCGGGGCGGCCTGCAGCCGGGATAAAAGCTCGGGGCGGGGCGCCGCACTGAAGCCGCTGCCTCCCGGGAGCCGGCCGTGCGCACCTGTCTCGCGCCCGCCCGCAGCCCGCCCGCGCGGCTCGCCGGCTCCCCGGCTCCCGGTAAGGAGGCGCGGGATCGGGCACTCGAGGCGGCGGGGGGTGGAGGGGGGGGACGCGCGCACGGCGCGACCAGACAGGGGCCCGCGCGAGCCACCTGCGTCCGTGGTCCCCACGGGCGCCGTCCTGGTTCGCCCTTTCTCCGTGGGAACCAGGGAACCAGTGCCACCGCTGCACCCTCCCCGTGGCTTGGCAGGTGGCATCTCCCCAGGTTGTGCTCAGGCCAGTTTGTCCCCAGGTAATAGGACAGGGAGGAACTGCGATCGGTGTGCGGGGGGTGGGTTAGGAGGGACTAAGCTTATCCTGGAGTAGAGTGGGATGGATGAGTGTCGACACGGGAAGCTTCTTGATGGGTCTCTGGTTATATCCTGTTTTTTCCCCTAGCGGTCCCGAGACGATCCGCGGGAGGCCCCGGGCAGGGAGAGACAGAACGAGGGGAGAAAGGGGTGGGTGGGCGTGCACACGTCCGAGTGAGCAGAGCTAGTGGACCTGAAAGGCCGCAGACGTTGGACAGAAGCTACCTGTCGGCTCAGCAAGTTACGCACTGGGCAGAGTGGACACCCGCTCTCGTGGACACGCGGCTCTAGTAGTCCCTGCCCCACACTTTTTTTTGTATTTTATTTTTTTAAAAAAAAGAGTCCTTCTGAAGTCTATTTTAAAGCTAGGGTCCCTCCCAAGGTTGGGGGTTTGCCCAGGTGGCCTGTTGGGAAAACTCCTCCCCATCTCATTTCCGCTTCCACCGCATCCTGCACCCCAGGGGATGCAGCGTGGAAGGGAGAAAATACCAGTGCAGAAGGTCCCCACGCCCAGCGACCCGCACCTCTGTTTCCGATGTCAGGTTTTCACTGGACTGGGGAGAGGGGAAGGAAAGAAGCTCCCCTCCTCCCCTGCTCCGGAAAACCTGTCAGAACCCCCTAGGGAAGGAGGACCTTTGGGAATGGATGTGAAGACCTGAGGGCTTTGCAGGTGGAGATAAGAACAGGGCAGATGAGCTTGTGCAAATGGGTGTCCTTGGAACTGTGGAATCTGAACTGGAAGGTCAGAGGGGCAAAGCATGGGAAACAGGAAAAGTGACAGGTCCCAGAGAGGGTGACTTCCCAGGAAGGGAGTGGTGAAGAAGTGGAGATAACTGACACTTCTCTCCTCCTGGTTTTTTTTTCCAATACATTTTATTGATTGTGCTACTACAGTTGTCCCGATTTTCCCCGTTTCTCCCTACACCCAGTACCCCCATTCCCTCCCACATTCCCCTCCCCGCCCCCCCCCTCCTTAATTCATGTCCATGGGTCATTCATAAATTCTTCTCCTGCTTCTGTTTGTATGTGTGGCTGCCGTTCTGGTCAGTAACTGGATAAAAGAAGACCGGAAGCATGTCGGAGTTTTGGTTAATTTCTGCCCCTGGCGATAAGGAAAATTTGCAAGCCCTGGAGAGGATGAACATGGTAACCTCCAAGTCCAACCTGTCTCATAACACCAAGTTCGCCATTCCTGACTTCAAGGTAAAGGCCCTGGGGAGGAGGAGGGAGGTGATGGGTTTGGGTGGAGGTGGTGTCTTCTGGAAGCCAAGGAGAAAGTAAGGGCAGCAAAGGGAGCAAAACTGAGAATCAGCCTGCGGGTGAGGACGATCAGGGCGGAGGTCAACGGTCCAGAAGGGACTTCACGCCACAGCCCGAATTCAGTCACAGAAACGATGGACTTGGGACCGTGGCACAGAGTGAACCGGAAGAGAGGGTGTGAGGGGCAGTGTCTTCAAAGACTGGGAAGAGCATCGTACACTTGGCTTCTTATGAATTACTCTCAGATTCTTCCTGCTTCATCTTCCGCATCTACAGAGACCAGTAATTCCGTTTAAAGCTGCAGGCGTGGAGAGCTCCAAGCTGTGTCTGTGCTCTGGAACCGGGAACGGGGCAGGAAATCCAGGCCCCTTCTGGTTCTGTTGGGGAGGCGGGAAGGGGATTTAGTGGTACCTGGGGAGATGGCAGAAAGAGATTTGACTGTGAGGGAGTATCTCAGAAGCAAGTTAGATTGAGACGAACAAGACAGGGGAGAAAGGTAGGCACGGTCCTCTTGCTTCGGAGAGAGTGGACTTCTTGCCAGGCTTCCTAAGAGAACAAGTTTCCAAGGAGAAGCAGCGCTGGGAGCGCCGGAGGGGGGCCGCTACCTGCGCAGAGGTGGCTCTCCCAGCTCACCGTCATACACGCCTCTTTCGAACCTCGGCTTGCCCCTTGCCAGAGGAGCTGCACTGCCAGCTGCCGTAGTTGTTGGTGATGCCTCTGCTTTGGCTAGTGTTTACCAGACAGTGTGCTGGGGCCCGGGCACTTTCAGCGGATTACCGCGAATCTTTGCAAGTCCCGCGGTCTGGGTTTGCATGGCCTGAGAGCGGGCCCCAGGGCTGAGGCAGAGCTGGTAAGTGGCAGCTCTGGGTTCCAAACCCATATGTTGCTGACTTCCAAACCTGCCACTGTTTGTCCAGTGACAGACCTTGTGACAGTGAAGTCAGCACCCACTCATCACCTACCGTGAGCGAGGCAGCGTGCTGGCCTGGAGGGAACAAGGAGAAAAAAAAAGACAGGAGTCCTGCCCAAAGCTGCTGGCAATCAAATTTATTGAAAAGAAACAACTTCACTTATTAGAGATATCCAGGCTTGCCCTCAGTTGGTTGGGGCATTGTCCCGAAGCCAAAGGGCTGAGAGTTCGATTCCTGGTCAGATCACAGACCTAGGCTGCATGTTCGATCGCTGGCCTGGGCACAGGTGTGCACAGGTTCCTGGTCCAGGTGCTGATCTCCGTTCCGGTGCACAGAAGGGATACTTCTCTCTTGCATCGATGTTTCTCTCTCTCCCTTTCTCCCTTCCTCTTTCTAAAAGCAATGAGAAAAAATGTCCTCAGGTGAGGATTTAAAAAAAGAGAGAGATCCAAGCTTCATAATTTCCTAGTTACTTTTTAGGGCCTGAATTGGTGGTTGGTACCATGACAACAAAGCTTTTTCCTTTTTTTAAATTTATTTATTTTTAAGATTTTATTTATTTATTTTTATAGAGGGAAGGGAAGGGGGGAGAGAGAGAGAGAGAGAGAGAGAAACATCAATGTGCAATTGCTGGGGGCCGAGGCCTGCAACCCAGGCATGTGCCCTGACTGGGAATCGAACCTGCGATGCCTGGTTCGCAGCCCGCGCTCAATCCACTGAGCTACGCCAGCCAGGGCTAAATTTATTTTTTGATTGTTTTATTGTTTTTTCCCCATTACCATTTATCGTCCTTATACCCCCCTCCCCACGCCATCGCCATGCTGTTGTCTGTGTCCGTGAGTCCTTTCTCCTCGATCCCCCCACCCCCTAACCACCCCCAGCCACAGCCACAATGTTTTTCTTCTGATTCCGTGAATAGACCTTTAAACACAATTTTGAGCTCTAACCATTTCCCCACTAAGAAGCAGACTATTGTAACTAATCGGAGAAGAAAAGGACTTGGACAAATCGTGAGGTGGGAAAAAGCTGTCCCCTGCCCCAGCGAGATCGTTGTTAATAGCCTCAGACAAGGAGAGGGAAAGGGACTTGGCTGGACTCTCGGAGAAGAAGGGCTTTTAGAAATGATCGTGTCTTTGGCTTGCTCTCCGGGGATCCCCTCCTCGGCTCTGGGGACCCACCCGTGAGCCGCGGACCACCGCTGTCACATGAGAACGAGCTGAGGGCAGGCCACGACCTCGTGGTCACTGCTTCCCACGGTGGAAACATGACAATGTATCCTGTTGGCAAAAGAAAAAAAAAGTTTTTAATTCCCAGATCCACTGATTTCCTTTAAGAGCTCTTCCCAGTCTCCAGTGTGGCTACTGACCAAGACAACTCACTGAAGGTGGATGTGAGGAGTCCTCTGCGCTGTGGGGAAGGGCACCCTCGCTTCTCGGCCACCACACCCAGCCTCTCATTTCTTTGTGATCTTTCCAGGTGGGGACCTTGGACTCCCTCGTTGGCCTCTCGGATGAGTTGGGGAAACTCGATACCTTTGCTGAAAGGTAAACTGTGGCTTATTTACTACATACAAGCTGGGCCTTGTTTTCAGACGACACAGCGCTCTGGCTTTGGCTGAGCCCGTACTCGCCGAAACCCGGTCCTAGACGTCACGAGGGGAGAGCCGGGGTGGGTCCGGGGAGGGCGCAGGGTCACCAGTGGCATGCGGGCGTCCACCACATGGTTTTGTTGGCGTGGGTTTGTTTCAGCATTTGTTAAGGGGGCTGCCTTCAAAACGAAGAGGGTGGCGGCGGCGGGTGGGGTGAGGTGCAGACACTGGAGAAGTAACTGGTGCAGCTCCTCCCGCCCCAGTTCCTGCCGCCCCGAGGGCTTTTAAGTTTTGCATTTGGGTTTGTGTTTGTAGTAACATTTGCCTGTGGTAAAAAATTCAACAGCACAAAGGGAAAGCTACCCAGTGAAAATTGTTCTCTTCTGACCTGTTTTCCTCTTTCCTTTCCTCTTATTTCTCCTCTTTTAAAGCAACGTTGTTAACGTTTTCTGGGAGAGCCTTCCAGAGACGACCAGTACGTGTACACGTAAATGTGAACGTATCGAATGTATTGTTTCCGAGTGGTTTCTTGCAGCTGACTGCATGTGTTCCACACTTTGCTTTTTTTTTTTTTCCCCACTTAATCACATCATTAGAGACGGGTCCGTCCATAACGCACGTTGTTTTTATTGGCCGCATGACCTTGAATAGCTGCTGCCTCCATTTGTTCGAATTTCCCTGTCGATGGCCATGTACGCTTTGTAGTTTTGGCTTTACAGGCGACCTGTAATGACTGCTCTTCTCCCTGCTTCCTCGTGCACGTGCGGCAGGGAGGTCGTTCAGAAACGCTGCCCAGAGTTCGCATGTGAGATGTTGCAGACGGGTCCTTCGCACCCTCCGGGAAGCCCTGGCTGTTCGCTCTGCCCCCCGAAGTGTAGGAGGATGTTTCAGAGTCTGACAGTCATTTGCTGTCTGAAAAGAACTTGTACACATTGGGAACAAAATCACTGGAAGTATTTGTAGATCATAGAAAAGCACGGAAAAGAGAATACAAGCCATCCATAATCGTGCCTTCCAGAGATCACCAGTGCTGTGTGTGCAGGGCGTACGTCCACATTTTCGTACACATAAACATCACTCCTGCACACACATGGTAATACATGCACCTCTAGTAATAAAGGTGACATCAGGTGACACATCTTTTGTAACGTTTCATATCTTGTTCTTTCGATCTCGCCATGAACAGTTCCACTGTAATGCTATGTCACAGGGACTCGTCATTGATTGCGAAGTGGTTTTGAAATAATAATTCCTTGTTTTGGTGAAATGAACATCTGTTGTTTATCCAGTGACTTTTCATTTTTTTTGCTTTGTTTTGTTCACTTTATTTTTTAAAAACATTTTTGAAATTATATTTATTTTTATTCATTTTTAGAGAGAGGGGAAGGGAGGGATAAAGAGAGGGAGAGAAACATCGATGTGAGAGAGAAACAGTGATCTGTGGCTTCCCCCACACCCACCGACCGGGGACTGAACCTGCAACTCAGGCACGTGCCCTGACCGGGAATCGAACTGGCAACCTTTTGCTTTGTGGGATGATGCCCAACCACCTGCGCCACACCGGGCAGGGCAGTAACAGATGCAGGTGGGATGGATGGGGAAAGGGTCGTCAAGCGCCAGGCCACACACCTCCTGAAATGACCCCGGCTCCACTGCAAGGTCTCGCCGCCCCTACGGAGGATTTCGGGTTTTCGGGGCCTGTGGACACACGCTACGTTTTCTTGTCAGTGGGATGGCGATAAGGCTGCTACTGTCTTTTCTAATGTGCCTTTGACGGAAAAGGTCTGGAGTCCTTCGAGGCTTTCTCTGACCTTCAGAGTCAGAGCCACGGGCCAGGAGTTTGGTTCTCTGTGCGCAGTCGTTGTTCCGGGACCCACTGCCTCCGACGGCCACGCATCCGTGTCGCTGCCGTTTTGTTCCACGTGGCTGCTGGGCTGACCACGAAAAGGCAGTCCGCATCGCCAAGAGGTGTGCAGCTCGTCGTCTCCGAGGAAGAAGACTAACCTTCGGCTTTCTCATCTGTACAATGGGATAATCGTGGCCATGACTGTGCTTTCGGGGGAGGATGTCATGGGTAAAACCGGGTTGGATCCAGCATCACCAAATCCCAGGACACGCTCCATGACAAGGTGACGCCCGAGAAAAAGCGGCCGGATCCCTCAATATCAGCTCCTTTCTGGAGCAGCTGTGCACGGGGGTCGGGGGTCTGGCAGATGTGGGGGAGGGGGAGTCAGCCCCCTGCCCTCGGCTGGTGGTTGCCTGCCTTTTTCTTACCCCGACAAACCACAGCGTCGGCTGAACTGAGCTGTTCCCAGGCCTGCTGCGGAAATGACACCTACTCGGCAATTTTTCTTTCTAGACCTTTCTAGGTGTGTCTTGGCTACTAGTGTTCTCCTCAAGGGCAAGTCCTTTAACCTCTTCTTCACCAGAGGGCTTTCTGGCTCTAAAATTTTATGACCCTGACTCACCATTGCTTCCACTTTCATTTTTTGTTGTTGTGCTCAGCGAGTGTCAGTGGTTTGTTCTGAATCTACTTGCTTTTCAAGTTGCTTGTGATGGGGGCGTGCACCTGTTTCAGAGACAGGGCGAATGACTCTGATACATGTGCGGACTAGCAACGTCGAGGCCGCCGTTGTGGACAGAGAGGGCTCACGTGAATTAAAGTGGTTCTTTTTTTTTCTTTAAGGGCCGCGAGCGGTAAAAATGAAAACCACTGTGTATTGTTTCCCTTGTGAGTATATTTTCTCAAGAGCCTTCCTGCCGGGAGAAAGAGAAACGGCGTGCTCCGAGACTCCCACAATTCTTATTGCCAGCATATATCTAGTCCAGAGCACAGGGCTCCTCATCTGAGAGTTGATCCGGGAGCCTGGGGTGAGGTCATGGGGTGCCTGGAGACTGGCTGCAGGTTTTACGAATGCCCTCTCTCGTTCCTGAAAGGCGCTCGGGTGTTATTAGATAAATACATGCTCTCTGGCTGTGTAACCGGGGCAGCCTGAACCCGTCCGCTCTGCCTCTGGCCAGGAGAGAAGGGATGCGAGTTTTCAGGGTGTATTGTTTCCGTATCCTTTTATTATTTATTTACTCGGGGCACCGCAGTGTTTTTCCATGTAGCTGGAAGGCATGGTTTGCTCACTGGAGCCTCGCATGCATTTTTGATTTATCCCCCCACGCTGCCTTTGTTAATTTGCTCTGCATTTACACCGTAATTCTCGAACCTGTGAGGAACCAAACCATTTTATCTTTTAAAGAGCTATGCAGCGCCCCCCTCCTCCATCCTGCTGGGCTTTTTTTTTTTTTTTTCAGCATTTGAGCCCCACACGGTATCTTGGCCGGTTTCGCCGAGCTGGTTGCAATATTCCATTTCCCAGGAGCTGGGGCACTCAGACGTACCTCATGCGCCTCTGAGGGAAACTGGTGACTGTCACATGCACTGGGGTGCGTTTCCTGGGCTGGGGAGGAGCTGCGGACTTTCCTTTGCCCATGTGCTTCCGAGCAGTGGACCGAGGGTCGGCTGATCAGAGGGTGGATGTCTGCTTAGGGACGCAGCTCCAGCGAGTCTGTCCTCCTAAGGGCATTCCAGAGAGAAGCAAAGCGTGACCGTTGAAAGTTACTGAGACTCCTCTGTTACTGCAAGGTGGAGGTCACCCGCGTGACTCTTCTCCGATGCGTTCGACGGAGATCAGTCGAACGCCTGCGTGCGCCGTGTGGTGTCTGGGTTCCTTGGAGCTGCTTGGCAGTCCTACTGCGTGTTCGCTCTTCTCCAGCGCTCTCCAGAAGCGGTTTCAAACCCTCCTCTACACCCCGCTCACCCCCTCAGTCATCCGCACATCCCGCTCAGCTGCCCCAGGCTTTCCTGGTTCAGATCCTCTGACTTACCCTCTCCTGTTCCAACCCGAGCACCCCTCCGCCATAACACTCACCCAAGTGGAGTTGTACACTCTCTTGTGGGGTTGTTTGCTTCATAGCTGTCTCCCCAGGCACACCGTAAGCCCCACAGGCCAGTCTTCCTGCACAGTTACGTCCCCAGAATGGAGAGCATCGCAGGCCTGCAGTGACCGGCGGAATGAATGGATGGAAGGCAGGTCCCTGGAGGGGCCGCACTGCACAGGCCCCTGGAGACCCGCTCTATCCCCTCATGCTCCGAGTGAGGGTCTAAGCTCCTAGAAAGAGCTCCGTGGGCTGGGGCCTGGGGGTGAGGGGCAGATAGACCTTTGATCCAGATTCACCAGCTTACCCATTAGTGCCTGCCTGTCTCCCTGTCTGTACCCACTCCGCCCCTAACTGGTTTCCTCCAGCTCCGCCAAGACTCGTCTCACTCATGACTCAGCTGATGACCACTGTCATTAAAAAAAAAAGTATTATAGTTACACATTAGAAATATCAGAGGGTATAAAGGTACCAAAAGAGAACAGTCCCACTTTAGCCATACTTCCTCTCCCTACAGTTACCATGAGCAGGGGGCCCTGTGGTTCCTTCCCTGGTAAAACAGAACGAAACACACACACACACACTCACACACACACTCACATTCATTAGCCAGTTCAAACGCTTACGAATCTTGAAGACCTTATTTTGAGATCTCTACCAAGCAGAAACAGATTTTTTAAAAAATAAGATGTGTCTCGAGCACCGAGGGCAGCAGCTGGCCTGTGGCTGGTGCAGAGACACTAAAGGTGATGCCGGCGGCGCCGCACCGGAAGTGCGCGGGGGCGGGGGGGGGGGGCACACGCACCGTTCTGCGTGTTTCTGGGAGCAGAGTTCGCCTCCCAGCTGACTCGATGCTTTTTCTTTGTCCTCTAGCAGAGCTTTAGTGTCTCACTCGATAAAGGTCTGCATGACTTATTATTCATTTTTCCCTAAATATTCACTTTTTAAAATTTTGTTGCTGTTATGAGATATTTTCTCTAAATGCTCTTTGTTTGTAAACAGGGCCTTTTTGTGTATGAACTCCATGAC